TGCGTCTAAGTCCTCGGGCTTCACCGTGTAATACTCAGGCTTCTGCTCAAAGTGTTTCCACTTCCACTCAAGAGGAAACCTCGCTGTCAGTCGAACCACTATCTGACCACCCGCAATCTCTTCTGAGCGATCGTACAAAGAATCCACGGCCACATCAGTAAGAGGCTTCACGACAAAGCACCTCTCTTTGAATTTGTGAACAGATTCAAGGTACGGACGAAAGAGTTTTTCGAACTATTTGAACGACACCCAGGCTTTTATCCCTTTAATGGTCTGCCGTTATAAGTGAAACATTCGAAAGAAGAGGGTCAAAGTGGCACCAATCTGGAGATATTAGCATACTAGCTTGAATGCACGCATAAACGTGAGGGCATTCAGATGAAGCTGGAAAGGTGCCAGTTGCAACCACTGGAAGACCGCAACTTGAAAATCGTTGAAGGGAAAACACATCTCCGCTTCCTTAAAATCAGACTCATACATAGGGAATCGTTTTCCCTGGAAGGCCGAGCATATCCTTCGGCTTTGATGAGGAATTTGAATAACCCAATTGGCAGGAGCACTATCTGCCTGGTCCTCGGGGACATTGAACGCGTCAAAAGCGTTCTGCAAAAAACACGACTTTTTACTCCAGGGCTCGAGCGCGACCCAAGCCAAACGATCATCCATGACCATAGTGTCACCATCGTTCATATCGGGAATGATGTCTTCCTCGATTTGGTGCACCATCGTACCTGAAAAGCAAGGGAAAATAGTGAATTCAACATCATCAAATTCACCCTTCCACCGCAAATCAAGTGAAAGGGCGATGGATGCGTTAAGAAATGGACATCGACCCAAGCCCTCGACAGCCAACACCAAAATGATTGACGCCCCACACGATGACATTTCATCGGACGAGAAAGTTTCCCAAACCCTCTCCACTATTTGGGGGGGGGGGGAGACGACCCCGACGCGAGTCAGAATGAAATTCTGGACCTATATGTTGTAACTGGTTTTAAATTGAGAGTCCCTACCCTTAATTTTTATCTTTAGGAAGGGGATATAAAGGATATCCCTAATTTGGTCAGAGATTCTAAGTTGATTGACTCATTATTAGACGAAGGAAAGGTTCTAGGCACTCCTCATTTACCTTGTTAACAAGGATACTAGGGTTTAGAATTACGACTTTAGAAATAGGGTTTTAATTTTTTATTAGGGAAACTCGCCACGATTTTAGTCGTATGCCTATGTATCCTCTTATGAGGAATCAGAGTCCCAATTCCTAGTTCACAGTTAGTTAGTGTTTTTTATAGGATTGCGTAGAATTGATTTTGAATTATCCTTGAACCTTTTCTAGATTGTAAGTTGAGTGATCGTAGATACAGGTCGCAGATAATTTTAAAAGTAATTATTCTTAATCCTTTTTATAAAAATATATTGAGTTTTTGATTAAGTTACTAGAAAAATATTTTGATGTTGGTTAGCTGTTTTAAATTAATTGATTAAAGTATGGTGGGACACAGAGAAGGGGAAGTCTGATATAGTCTTCTCATCACGTGGCCAGATATTGACCACGTGTTGCTCATTGGTGAATTGCGTGATTTTTAATATTTTAAGATAGAAGAGTTAATTGATAAAGCGTCAGATCAATCAAAGAATATGACAAATGTGTATCCACAAATTCTATTATTTGTAATATATTTTGAATTAATTTTATTTACCATAATGTTTGATCATGTGTAAATTTATTTTATTTACTTCGTATAACCTAAATTAACTTAATAACTAAAAACCCAATAAAATTAATCTAATAAAATTAAATATAAATTAGAAGTTAATTTAAAGTAAAAAAGTTAAATTAAATAAATTAAGTAAAAGAGGTGATGAATAGAACAAATTAATGGGATTGTTAAGAAAATTAAGAAATAGGTCCAATGATTAAAAGAAACTCATAATTATGAGACAAAATAAAATGTTGGAATAATAAATAAAAATATTAAAAAAGAAAAAAGAAAAGTGAGGTGGCGTGAGTATTTCATCCAACTTGAATCTCTCACTAATTCTTGACTCAGTAAACCAATTGAAAAGAAAAATGAATATATGCAGTCCCTTCTAACAACATATAATATAATTATAATTAGTGGGATACGTGTGCATTCGCACGAGTATCTGGTGTAATACGCGTATTTGTTTCTAAAATATAATAATAATAAAATGAAAATTAAAAAAAAAAGTCGGTGTTTATTATTCTTCTAATATATTAAAATATTTGAATGAATAACATATTTTTTTTAATATAAATATTATTTTTGTTTTGGAATTGTTGTAATAAATATTTAAATCAATATTAAAGTTGTTCTATTTATATTTAATATTTTGATCAGTAATTTAATATTTTCCGTTAATATTCAATAATTTGATAAGTAATTTCATGTTTTTATTAATGTTCAATATTTTGATCAGTAACTTAATATTTTCTTTAATATTCAATAATTTGATCAGTAACTTCAGGTTTTCGTTAATATTCAATATTTTGATCAATAATTTCATGTTCCCGTTAATATTCAATATTTTGGTCACCAACTTTATATTTCTGTTAATATTCAATATTTTGATGAGTAACTTCATGTTCCCGTTAATATTCAATATTTTGATCACCAACTTTATATTTCTATTAATATTCAATATTTTGATGAGTAACTTCATGTTTCTGTTAATATTAAATATTTTTATCAGTAACTTCATGTTCCCGTTAATATTCAATATTTTGATCAGTAACTTTATATTCTCGTTAATATTCAATATTTTTATCAGTAATTTCATGTTCCCGTTAATATTCAATATTTTGATCACTAACTTCATTTTCCCGTTAATATTCAATATTTTGATCACTAACTTCAGGTACTCGTTAATATTCAATATTTTGATCACTAACTTCAGGTTCCCGTTAATATTCAATATTTTGATCAGTAACTCCGGGTTCCCATTTATATTCAATATTTTGATCAATAACTTCAAGTTCCCGTTAGTATTTAATATTTTGACCAGTAACTTCATATTCCCGTTAATATTAAATATTTTGATCAGTAACTTTATGTTGCCCTTAATATTTAATATTTTGATCAATAAATTCATGTTCTCGTTAAATTTAAATTATTGAAATGATGTTTGAATCTCTATGTTTAAAAAAAACATATTTGTCATTCTAAAATATAGCTTGTTGACAACCTATAACTGATATTATTAATATGATTAAGCAATCATAAATCGGTGATCCAAAGAGTAAGGTTGTCTCTCAACAATTGTATGATCAAAGTATTGTCCTTGTATGACTCTTCTCTCAAGGTATCTAAATCCATAATTGACTCGTCGAAAACTTGTTTAGCCAAATGATAGACCCTGTGTGTTTCAATATTCACATTTAAAGGAGCATTAGCAACAAATGCAATTCATCAGACCTATGCAGATGATAATAGTGTTAGAAACACATTTTTTTTCTGAGATATTTTTTGAGTTAAATCTAGATGTCTTCTCTTATTGAAGACATTTATATTCAAGACCAACAAAATAACATGAGTATAATCACTCTTAAAGGAATTTGTTTGTCACATTAGTGACGATGGACCAATATCTAATGAGTAACAATGATATGTAAACTCTAAACGGTCATTTGGGTCGCACAACCTTACTTCTAGTAATGCGATAAGGAGCTACTTTTCATCCCGCCCTCACTACTAATAATGGATTATGGAAGGACAACATGGGGCGACACACAAAATCTACCAATCGACTATGCCATTGCCTCGTACTCACGAAATCTTCAACTCAAATTTATTGCTAATAATTTTATATTTCTTTTTAATTTTCTTTTATATTTCATTTCACAAAAAAAAACCTGAAACCTCTGCATCACACATAATACCAAACTTTGAAAAAAGTTAATATATTTCAATAGTTTGATCAGCGATTTCATGTTCATTTTAATATTCAATATTTTAATATTTGAAAAATGAATAATTTAATTTTAAATATTACTATTAAATTAAAAAAAATTACATTTATATATATATATATATATATATATATATATATATATATATATATATATATATATATATATATATATATATATATATATATATATATATATATATATATATATATTAAAATTGTAATTTAAATATGAATTTAATTAAAAAATACAAATGCTGAATTTTTTATTTACATATTCTTTATTATATTATAATTAAAAAACATTAAAACAACACTTAATTATTCAATATTTGGTGTTCATGTTAACAACTTTGGATGAATTAAGAAAGTTCATGGACTTAAACAATTTGTCAAACAATCTACTATTTCGATAATCACATAATGTAACCAAGTTCTAGGACACACCCATTAACTTGCAACCTTTCTCAGTATTGTTTAATATTTGAAGCACTTTTTTCATCTAATTAAAAAACACTCAACTTAAAGAGACAGCCAACAAACACCACCTAGAATAAAATAGTAAGCCAATATCACAATAATTCAACAAAACTTCTTGATTGGTGATCTGCAGACTGTGTCAGGACTGATATTCCAAGACCAACAACTCACACAATTTCCTTAATACTCATGATTGATCATCTTCAATTTTAACCGAACTGAAAAACATTTGATGTCAATACCAGATAAGACTCTCTTTTTACATTTATCAGAATATTATTATAAAAAATCACCAAAGAACACAAACGCGTAGTTACAAGACATGGATTATTTACATCATTTTGTGGCCAATTATCATCATAAGGATGCTGATCTCAAAGAGGCAGAGTAGGAGGTGTATGCAAAGAGGGAAAGTCAGGTGAACTATTAATAGTAGTCTCTTGATCAACAAACTGATCTCCCCTTTGATGCTCGAGGTTCTGTTCTACTAAAGCAGCAGAAGAGGTTTCTTCTTCCATATCCCACTCCATGTTAGCATGACCTTGCCTTATACATAGAATTGTATCAATAGGTTAAGACTCTCACAGAAACTACTGCCGAGAAGATTGTATCAAGAAATTTTTCATCCAGCAGAGCCTTGTCCACTGTGAAAATGAAAATACTTTCACAATAAACATATAAAATATAATCATCATAGACAACAGTTAAAAATACATAGTCTGATAAGTTTACCACATCTTTTTCTTCGCCGAGATGAATGGGGGAACTTTTTAGGAGGTGCTTCAGTAATATTTTCAATATCATCATTAGCCTTCTTGCGTTTTCCATATGTTTTGCGATTTTTAAGAGGTGTTTCAGTAACCTTTTCAATATCATCATTAGCCTTCTTTCATTTACCAGATGTTTTTCCATTTTTAGCCAGATTTCTTCTTAGAACACGATGATGTTTTTTTCTTCTTGGATGAATAATCCACTCCATACTGAATCTGGGTAGTCTCTCACACACCAAATTTTGTAATCATAAATTAGTGAACTGCTCAGTTTAGATAGAAAGCCTCCTCAGATTTGCATAGAGGTAAACCTTCTCTTAATGCAGCCTTATCAATTTGGATGACGGTAACGTCGGCTTTCTCAAGATCTTCAACCTCATTCTTTATAGCCAAAGCAATCTGGTAGCAAGTCTCAAATATAATAACAAAAGGAAAATGTTAAATTAAATTGACATATTGCAAAATGATCATCATTTATAACTTATAAGGTGCTTTTGCAAACCTAGGTTAGTCATCTCTAACTAAGGACCAGTTCAGAATACTAACAGGGCCATTAAGCATTCCCTCCATGGATCATTTGGTCAAACTATGAGCTGCCGAAGACCAGAAAAAAGTCTTTGGATTGGGACAACTCACATTACCATAGATAATCAGTGGCTTGACAAAGCAGGATCCATAGGATTGCACCCACCAGTTGGCAGTGAAAGCAAAGCCATATAATTGTTCTCGGAAGTACTCAACCATGCCATTCCTCTAAATTGGAAAAAGAAATCAACTTATAAATATTTATAGTTTTGAACCATATTTTCACACAATAAAGAAGCATAAATTAAACCACTAAATAAGTAATAAATATCCACTCCATACCTCAGCTCTCCATGCACCAAGACATCAATGTCGAGCTCTTTTTGGATCATATAGTACATAGAGTAGGTTAAGCGTTAAAATTTGATAATCATGGAATGTAGTAGATAACTAAAGAAAACGAAGAAGAATGATGCTTACTTTTTGGCCTTGTTCAAAACATCCTTAGAAAGTGTGATTTACCTAATCCTTTTGTCCAGACATTGCCTTGGCCAATGCATTTACTTTAACTATTTTCTGTGCTGCAAATGCAAGCCAAGACTTAATCTCTTGGTCCAGATTCGTCTCAATTACTAAATCAATTTGTAGTGTGAAGAAGAAAACAATATAAGTGTTTGTTGATAGCAGTTTTGGTAAAACAATGACTTGTTAATATTTTGTTAAATGTCTTAACATTTGGAGCAAAATTGTTTTGTATGATGTCAAAGCAGATGTCTTGACATTTGCCTACTGAACTGATCTCAGCTAACATCAGTTAAGTCTTTTGTTTTCAGATTTCTAGCACTCTATAATTTAGGGTTTGTGATCTACAGGCTGCGAAAAATATGGAGGAATATTTTTCAAATTGCATAATTTTATCTTGGACTGTTTTTATGGAAATATTCAAAAGATTTAAATATTTGTTTTTAAGTCCAAGCCCAAAGCTTCACATATATAAGAACTTGCTTCCTTATTCAAAGACAAGCAACTTTTGAAGAAGAATACTTTCTTTCTGATTAAAAGTCTAGGATTTTTATTTGTAATACACTCTAAGCATTAGTTTAAATACTTGAGTTGTTATTTGGATTGTTAATTGTGTATCATTCATAAGCTTTTAAGCATTGAATGATTGAAGTATTTCAAACTTATTAATTTTGTTAAGTTCTTCAGCGTAAGTGATTGAAGGGATTTGAGGATGGCCTCATACCTAAGTGAGTATTAGGTAGAAGTTTATCTTGGGTATTGATTAAGTAATTAGATCGTAAACTGATTGTTTACTGAGGGTCTATGAATTGATACTATTTAGTCAACTTGTCCCTGGCTTGGTAGCCCCCATAGTAGGTGTTATTGTACACTGAACTGGATGAACAATCTCTTGTGTTTTTACTGCACCTTACTTGCAAACATATATTTGTGTCGTGACATCTCATTTGACATCACATATCTGATACCAGAATTTCAATTGGTATCAGAGCAGGCATTCTACTCTTTATCTGGATGAGATCTAAGGAAGATACTTTTTGGTACTATGGATAAGGAAGGAGGATTTTTGAAGAGATCACCCATTCTGGATAGAAGCAATTATGACTATTGGGAACCAATATGGTTTCCTTTCTAAAGTCCTTAGACAACAGGGATTGGAAAGCTATTTTAAGAGGATGGAAACACCCTGTCAAATTGAGAGAAAATGGAGAATCTACTTCTGAATTAAAACCTGAAGAAGATTGGTCTAAAGAAGAAGATGAAATTACTCTTGAAAATTCTAAAGCCTTGAATACTATATTCAATGGAATTGACAAGAATATTTTCAGGTTAGTCAATACATGTGAAGTTGTTAAGGATGCATGGGGGATTCTTCAATCAAATCATGAAGGCACATCAAAAGTTAAGATGTCAAGACTTCAATTACTCACCATAAAATTTGAGAATTTGAGGGTGAAAGATGATGAAAGTATAAATGACTTCCATATGAACATTCTTGAAATTGCTAATGCCTCCAGTGCTTTAGGAGAGAAAATGCCTGAAGATAAATTGGTGAGAAAGATGCTCAGGTCTCTTCCCAAGAGATTTCATATGAAAGGAACTTATATAGAAGAAGCCCAAGACATTGACAAAATTAAAGTGGATGAACTTGTTGGATCCCTTCTAACATTTGAATTAAGCATAAATGAAAGATCTGAGAAGAAAAACAAAAGTATAGCCTTTGTATCTAATATTGAAGATAAAGAAGAGGACTGTGATGTAGATACAGATGGAGGAATATCAAATGCTTTAGCCATGCTTGGAAGATAATTTAATAAAGTGATAAAAATAATGGACAGGAACCAAAGATCAAATGTCAAGAACATCCCATCTGACATCTATAAGTCAAATGAGGTGGGAAGAAAAAGGGCTGAAGAAAAATCTTCTCAAGGGAAGGGAATAAAATATCATAAATGTGAAGACTTTGGTCATATTAGAGCTGAATGTCCTACATATCTAAAGAAATAGAAGAAGAATCTATCTGTTACTTGGTCTGAAGAGAACTCAGAGAGTGATCTTGAAGAATCTACCTAATATGTTAAAACATTGACATGCAAATATGTATCAGATGAAGAGTCTAGTGATGGGGAACTAAACTTTGATGAGTTAGCTGCTTCATACAAACAATTATGTCTCAGAAGTGCAGAAGTATGTCTTGAAAGGGAGAAACGGAAATCCCTTATAACTCAGCTGAAAGAGAAAAGGGAAGAGCATCTTAAAACTATTTCTAATTTGGAAAGTGAAGTGTCTTCTCTAAATTCAAATCTTGATAGAATGGTCAAATCTCTCAAGATGTTGAATAATGGGTCTGACACTCTAGATGAAGTTCTACAAGCAGGAAGAATGATAGGAGACAAGAGTGGTTTAGGTTTCAACGAGAAAAAGGAACCTAACTCAGAAGAGCCTTCATCTGTTTCCACTAATGCCAAGCCTAAACCAAAGATGTTGAATTAAATGTCTTAACATGTGGGAAAACATCACGGTAAGAAATGACATCTTGGGAAACCTCATGTGAAGAAAGGACATAATGGCAAACATCATGAAAAGAAAAAGCTTAATCACACCAGAGAGAATCCCCAACCTTGGAGATGTCATCACTATGGAAGGCTTAGACATATAAGGCCCTTCTGTTTCAAGTTGTATGAGTATCCTAAAAATACTCCTCCCAAAACTGATAAGACTCCCCAAAATAGAAAAAAGGAGAAACAGTGGGTTCCCAAGTACAAAGTTGGTAGTTTCATTGCTCACACCTCTCTCAGAGTATCAACCAAAAATGACTGGTACTTTGACAGTTGCTTTTCTAGATATAGGACAGGTGTCAAGAATCTGTTGGTGGATATTAAATCTCATTCAACCAGTTATGTGACTTTTGGTGATAGAGCAAAAGGAGAAATCAAAGGGGTTGGCAAGCTTGAATGTTCAGGAGTTCCTAAGCTTGATAAGGTGTTGCTTGTAAAAGGGTTAGCAACTAACCTGATAAGCATAAGCCAACTATGTGATCAAGGATTCAAAGTTAACTTCTCCAAGGAAGAATGTCTTGTGTGCAATGAAAAGAATGAATTTATCATGAAAGGAATAAGATCTAAAGATAAATGTTATCTATGGGTTCCTCAAGATTTAAATCTCTTCTCAACATGTGTTTTAGCCAAAGAGATCGAAGTTAAACTATGGCATTAAAAATTGGGGCACTTGCATCTGAAAGGTATGAAGAGAATTATATCTGAAGAAGTAGTAAGAGGGATTCCTAAGCTCAAGCTACAAGAAGGCAGGGTATGTGGTGACTGTCAAATTGGAAAGCAGACTAAGATGTCACATTAGAAGATTCAACATCTTACTGCATCAAAAGTTTTGGAACTTCTTCATATGGACTTGATGAGACCTATGCAGGTTGAAAGTCTTAGTGGTAACAGGTATGCCTATGTTGTTGTAGATGACTTTTCAAGATACACATGGATACACTTTATTAGAGAAAAATAACAAACTTTTGAAGTGTTCAAATATCTTTGTCAAAAACTTCAAAGGGAAAAGGAAAGCCATGTCATAAGAATACGAAGTGATCATGGAAAGGAATTTGAGAACAACAAATTTGCTGAGTTTTGCTCCTCTAAAGGAATCATCCATGATTTCTCTTCTCCCGTTACTCCTCAACAGAATGGGATTGTAGAATTCAAGAATAGAACTCTCCAAGAATCTTCTAGAGCCATGATTCATGCTAAGAAGCTACCCTACCATTTTTGGGCTGAAGCGATGAATACTGCGTGCTATATCCATAACAGAGTCACTCTAAGAAAAGGCACTTGAACTACTTTGTATGAAATATGGAAGGGAAGAAAACCAATTGTTAAATACTTTCATGTTTTTAGAAGTAAATGTTACATCTTAGCTGATCGTGAACAAGGGAGGAAGATGGATCCCAAGAGTGATGAAGGAATATTCCTGGGCTACTCTATAAAAAGCAGAGCATACAGAATTTTTAACTCCAGAACCAAAGTTATGATGGAGTCAATAAATGTTACTATTGATGATAGAGGATGGAATGTTGAAGAAGATGTCTCAGATGA